TTGGGCTAATGATGCTGTGAAGGCCCTCAACCAGATGTCAGGATATAAGGAGGCTGCGCCAGCCCCCGCTTCTCTTGCTCAGAAAAGAGTACTCGATCGCTTCAGCGATTGCTACTGTCGTCTGGGCCCTCCTCCCAGCGAGGCGGGATTCGCTCAGGGAGCCCTCAGCGAGCTTCTGAGCAACCATTCGTTGTACGGGGATGCGGGCCCCACCCGTCCTTATTCGCGTGACCTCGTTGCGTGGCCTGATGAGGGTGCGGCCCCTGTTGACCTTCATCGTTTGCTCTCGCAGGCGGATTCCTCTTGGCTTAAGGATTGGAGATCGCACATGCTGAGGCCAGCAACTAAGGCCCAGGTTTTGGTGCAGGAGGCCTGTCCCAAAGGAGCCTATATCGACCCTATCCTCTCCCACTCCCCCTCCGCGTGCGCTGACTTTCTGGCCTGTCTGGCCCGGCGTGGGATGCTGAGCTTTCAGCCTTCGCGGGGTAGAAAGGGCCTCCTTGGAGTATTCTGCGTGGCCAAGAAGTCTGATCAATTACGTTTCATTTTCGACACCAGAGTTGCCAATTGTTATTTCAACGCTCCCCCCTCTACTCGACTCCCCTCGGCTTCCGCCTTCTGCCATCGAATCGAGAGGCGGCCCTTGTCTTGCTGCTTCAGGTGATGTTCAGCGTGCCTTTTATCGCATGCGGGTTCCCGCTGACATGATAGAATGGTTCTCTTTGCCGCCCATCGATTCCGGTTTACTCGTGTCCTTTGGACTGGAGGGTGTTCCTCAGATGGCGGGACAGGCTCTCCTGCCGCGCATAACTGTGATGCCTATGGGTTTCTCCTGGGCCCTTCATTTTTGTCAGGCTGCGATGCGAAACGCTATCCAAGAGGCGGGCTTCAGCCCGAGTCGCGTCGTATCTGACGGTGAGCCCGGCGTCGTGTTTAGGACAGCCGATGGTACGGCTGCTGCGGGCTACGTTGATAACTTTCTCGTGCTGGGCCAGTCTCAGAAAAATGCGAAGGCTGCTTTTGACCAGATTAGCGCCAGGCTCAGATCTGTTGGTCTCCTCGTGCATGAAGTCTTTGAGCCGTCTAGGGGTTCGACCTTTCTCGGGCTCTCCCTCGTCGCCGGCCGCCGGTTGTCTGTGAAGCCTCGGAATCTTTGGCGCCTGCGCTTCGCCATTGAGCGCCTTTTGGCCAGGGGTTCTGCCAGCGGTGTTTTGCTCAGAGTTATTGTTGGCCATATCACGTGGTCCTCGATGGTCCGTCGTGAAGCCTTGGCCATTCTGAATGCGTGCTACGCGTTCATTGAGACGGCAAAGGATGTGGTGACCCCCCTCTGGCCTCAGGTGGCATTAGAGCTTCGTAGGATTGTTGCTATTCTCCCTCTCCTCACAACGGACATGTGTGCAGGGTGGCATCCGCAGATCTGTGCCTCGGGCGCGTCAGAGTTCGGTCTTGGAGTTTGCCATCGGTCACTTTCTGAGGATCAAGTTGCAGAGATCGGTCGAGTAAGCGAGAGAGTGAGATATCGTGTGGAGGGCGCGGAGAAGGCTCGCCTCAACGCACTTCGGGAGTCTAGGGACTTCGAGGACTCTCGGGACGTCGTCTACGCGGAGGCTGCCGCCCGCCCGCCGGACTACATGCCCCTCGGGTTCATGGACGTGGACCCCCTGCTCTTCGAGGAGATCCCCGCGGACCTCATGAGGCCCCAGGATTGGAAGGATGTCTTGGCCGTTCGGGTGGGCTACGACGCCGATATCATGCAGTTAGAGGATGAGGCCCTCGCGTTGGCCTGCAAGCACATCCTGCGCGCTGGTGCTGCCGCGGGGCGGCGAGTGGTTGCCCTCGTCGATAACATGCGTCTGGCGCTGGCTTGCTGCAAGGGCCGAGCGAAATCAGTTCACCTTCAGTCTGTCATGTTGAAGTTGGCCTCGTTGTCACTGGCTTCAGGATGCCGTCTGCGCGTTCGTTGGATCCCCAGTGAGAGGAACCCGTCGGATCGCCTCTCCCGTGGCCATCTCGGATGGTTCTCAGGCTTCCGCGCGGCGCGCCGCCTGCCGCCTGCGGGCGACGCCGCGGGCCGCACCTGGAATGGCGAAGGAGCGGGCCAGAGCACAGCGCGAGACGCGCGTTGCCACCGCCCAGCGCCTGACCGCACAGCGGGGGCCATTGGGGTCCCTCACGGGTCTCGAGCAGATTGCGATCCGCCTGGTGACGGAGGCTCTCTACAAGAAAAATGCGACAGCATTCCTGGACTTGTGCGCCAAGCTGGGCCTGGACTGGCACGACGTCGTGGAGCTGGACGCGGTCTTAGCCCAGCACGTGGGCGATTGCTCTCACCACAACGTGTCGTCCGACCACGGCACGCAGCGGCTGGGCGGCCTCGCGCATCTCTACCCGAGCTTGCAGGTGCAGTGGGAGCTACAGTGGCCGAGGGCTGCTCGCGCCTCGATCCCTTGGAAGCGGAGGGTGCCTGTGGGGGCCCAGCTGCCATTGCCGAAGGCGGTAGCCATGGCCATGTGCCTGTTGCTGGTGGAGGCGGGTGCGCCCTGGATGGCCGTCTGGGTCGCGCTGTCGTTCGTTGCCTACCTGAGGCCCAGCGAGACGTTCAAGTGCCTGTGGTCGTTCGCGGTCGAGGCCTTGAGGCCGAAGTACAGCCGCTGCTTAAGCCTCCTGTGCTTCCCCCAGGTCTCGGGCCACCTGCGCGGCCTCCGCCACGGGGGCGCGTTGGACGGCTCGGTCAGTCGCCGAAGGAGCGCGTTCCAGGGGGGGCTTCAAAGCAGGCTGGCATCCGTGAAGAGTTTAGAACGGTACGGCAAGGAGACAAAGCTGCTGCCGGAGATCCGCTCTGCGCACGGCGGCGTATTTCGTTTGGGACATCTCAAGTTGGAGCATTTCTGGGCGGTGGTCATGGCAGACGGGACCCTGGAGGCCAGCATCGGTCACCTCATCCCAGCGACGCTCGTGCTGGCGGTGCGAGCTGCCCGAAGGCTGCGCCCATCAGGAGATCACAGAAGCCACCAGTGAGACCCTCCTACTCCCTCAGTGCCTCTGAAATTCGTGCCCACCTGCAGTGCCGTTTTAAGGAGGAGTTACATAGGGGAAAGGGGTCCCATAATCCGTCTCAGTATCGGTTGTTTCTTGAGTTGTTTGCCGGGTCCGGGTCCCTTTCGAAGGCCCTTCGGGGCCTGGGCGTTTCTGCCCTTGACCTGGATTCTAAAAATTCGGCTGGTGAGGATCACCTGCGCCCTGCCTTCATCAAGCTCGTTCGTGGGTGGATCTCTAGTGGATATGTCTCGGGGGTGTTCTTGGGAACCCCTTGCACGTCTTGGAGCAGGACCCTCCGTCATCCACTTCGCTCGCGCAACCACCCGATGGGCATCCCTGCCGCTTTACTCTCACAGGCCGAGCAAGGACGGCTGGCGGCAGGGAATGTCACTTTCACTTTCAGTTACCGAGTAGTTGATTTATGCATCAAGTGCGGTGTTCCAGTATATATCAAGAACCCAGCCCTGTCCCAGATGTGGTCTGCGCCCCGCATGCTACAGCTGTGCCAAAAACCTATGCATCAGTCAGTTGTTTTCCACATGTGTCAGTATGGAAACACAGTGGTCGCCCAAAGCCCCCAAGACGCACCAACAGGCAACAGTGTCAGCACCCCCCAAGAGGATCGGTACCAGCGGCAACCCGACCATCAGGGAAGTACACGACGCTGCTACCTGCCAGGCAGCTAGACATCGAGTCCACAGGCGAGGGCCCACAAACGACGAATAGCGATTCGCATTGACCCATGGATCATTAACTTCGCAACGGACTGAGCCAATCTCGGCGGATACGAGGCAGCTAAGGCGGTCCAGTTCTTGCCGCCAGGAGCCTTTCCAGTCAAGACAATGTGTGGCTTCTGGGTCCTACTGCACAGACCGTGGCGACACTTGCATTTCTTCTGGAGTGAGTGGAGAGAGGGAGAAAGCCAGGCAGAGATACGAGTGGGCTTCATCCCTCGGGTGCGTTTTAAATTTTGACTTTTTGGTTCGGCCTTGGTGGCCCAGTCATTCCTGCGGGATTCGGGGGATCTCCTTTGCTGTCATCTGGCCTGTGATCCTGTGTCTTGCCCTAGGCCTTGGGGCCGGGATGGATGGCTGATGTCGCCTGCGGTCGGAGTTCTCATAAACATTGTCTGGCATCCATCGTCCGCCTGGTTGTGCTGTTTGATTTTAGATCTGTAAGCACAGGAGGGTATGGCCGCAAGGATGCCGCATGTGAGAATTCACAGTCCCGTGTGCTATCCGTGGCACGCGGCTCAAGCTCTCCCTCCCGCCCTCCCTGTCGCTTGCATCCTTTGTGCTGCACTGTCCGGGGATCTCCTTTGCTGTCATCTGGCCTGTGATCCCGTGTCTCGCCCTAGGCCTTGGGGCCCGGGATGGATGGCGGATGTCGCCTGCGGTCGGAGTTATCATAAACATTGTCTGGCATCCATCTTCCGCCTGGTTGTGCTATATATATATATATATATGTATATATATATACATATATATATATATATGTGTGCTTGTGTGTGCATGTGTGTGTGTGAGGCCGTAGCGGCCGCTGCCGCGGGGCCAGAGGTCGGCCCCGACCTCCGGCGTGGCTGGCCAGAGGGGGGGCCAAAAACAGGCGTGTCTCGTCTGCCCCCCCCCCCCCTCCCAGTGTTATGGCGGGCGCCCCTGCCCGCGGCGAAGGGCCTGTGGCGCGGAGGCGGCGGCGGCGCCAGGTTGCTGCCGCCCGAGCTGCTGGCTCTGCTGCCAGCTGCGCCCACGGCGCCGCGGCCGCCGCTGGCGCCGCCAGCGCTCCCCGCGCCGCGGCGGCCGCATCCGCCGCGGCGGCCCCGCCGCCGCGCGCGGCTCGCCGCCGCTGGCCGCCGCGCGCGCGTCGGGCGCTGCGGGTGCTGCGGGCGCTCCCAGGCCACTGGCGCCGCCGTCCGGCCTCCCACTGGCCTCGGTCGCTGGCAGGGGCCGCGCCAGCGCTGTGGCCGCCGCCGCGGCCGCCAGTGCGGCATCCCGCAGGCGCTGCGTCCGCGCGGGCTGCCGCGGCTGCCGCCGGGGCCGCCGCCGCCGCCGCCGCTGGCGCCGCCTGAGCGGCGGCCGCTGCGGCTGCCGCCGACGCTGCCGCCGTCGCCGCCTTTAGCTGCTCGGCCCGAGCTGCCGCGGCCGCGGCCCGGGCGGCCGTGCTGGGGCCTGCCGCGGCCGGCGCCGCCGCAGCAGCCGCCCACAGCCGCGGCCGCAGCCGCCGCCGCCGTGGCGGCTGCCGCCGCTGGCGGCGCCCGCGGCCCTGCCTGGGGCGGCCAGGCCCCCGCGGGCCTCTGGGATGGTTTGACTGGCTTCGCGCTGGGCGGTTGGGCGCTCTGCGCAGGCTCTCCACTGCTCGTTTGAAAGCGAGGTGGGCGTGTTGGAGTTGGTTGGCCTTTGGGATCCCGGTGGCCTCACTTTGGATGGTGGCACGGACAACTTCGCCCGCCTGCGCCAGACTGAGCTGAGTGAAGCACGGCCGCGCGTCCATGCAGGCGACGGTGGGCATGTCATCCCAGAGATCAGCGGCATGCTGCCGGGGTACCTGCCACCGTCCGCCGGCCGGAAGTACGTGCGCATCCCAGACGGTATCGGTGCGATCTCTGAGGCTTCCGCGGCGGGTCGGGCGCAGATCTTGGCTTGCGACGCGTTCCGCGAGCTGTCCCAGGATCGGTCCGCTGGCATCCTTGCCGCTCGGGGTGACCTCGGCCCCGAGGCGCTGATGTCCAGCGACGCGGGGGACAAGCAGAACAAGCTCACGGATGAGATCGCCGATTGTCGTCTGGCCACGATGGCGATCGGCACGGCGGAATTACGAATATTGGCGACTGACGGGTAGACTGTCTTTGCGCGCGCGTGCGAGCGTTTGAGTGTTGCATGTGCATGGCGTGTATTTGTGTGATTGCGTGTTTGCGCGGCGTGGCGTGCGTGCTGGGTTGGTGCATGCAGGGTCTCGGGTCTCGTGTCTGGTCTGCTTCAGGCAGCGTTTCGGATCCTCGGAGATAAATGCCGCGTCCAGCCTCAGCTGCGGCGTCGGGGGGCGCGCCCGTAGTTCTCACTGGCCCACGCCCTGCCCCCGGTGCCGCGGTGCCGGGCGTGGCCGCCAACCGCGCCAGCGCGCCCATAATCCGTCGAATCGGACGGGGGCGGCATGCGTCTCGGGGTAGGAGACTGGGCGGTGCGGCGCCGAGATAGGCCCGAAGTGTCCAAACCTCCTGGTTGAGCCGAGGGGCAACGCTCTCTGGGTGCCAGGGGGGGGGCGTTCGGTCGAGTGCGCGCGCGGAGCTGCGATGGTGTCTGGAGGCGGCCAACCCACAGATGGGGGATCGTTCGGGCCCCCCCTGGCCCGGACCTTTCCCGTCGCTTCACGGTGACCTAAACTTGGTGCGGTGGGGTGCGCCTTGTGGAACGCGCCCAGGTGCGACCCTTCATGTGCTCCTTGCCGCTATGCGGTGGCCCAGACTATTATGGGTGGGCCGGGCGGGCGCGGCCCGTTGCCATGCGTGCGCGGGGGGGGTTGGATTCCTGGAATCTTCTCCCGCGCAACGGGCAGCGCGGGGCTGGATCCCGCCTGGTCACCGGGGGCCGGCAGGCGAGGTCAGCGAGGCGCCTCGGTCTGGGCCTCTTGATCCTAAGGTGCCTCTCCGGGGCGCCGCGCAGTTGCGGCCCCCCGACCTCCGCGGAGCAGAGCGCCGACTGACAGGGGGGTGGAATGGGCGGGGGGGGGGGGCGGGCGGGGGGGCGCCGCCACAGCGCGCAGAGGGCTGCTATGGCCCAGCATACGCGCAGGAGACATAATAAAATCAGCTCTGGTGGGGCATGTGCTCGGGTGGTCTGTCCACTGGGTCGTCGTCGCCTTCTGGTCACTCCATTGCGCCTTCAGGTGGTCTTGCACCGCCCCCCAGGGAGTGGGGGTCTTGCGCCCTGACGACGTAGGGCCCGCTCCCTCTGCGCCGGGAGATGGCCTTGCACCATCTCTCAGGGAGTGGGCCCCCTTTCCTGGCGGGCGGGGTGCGATGGCGCGGCGGCGCGCTCGGGGCCTGATCTCCACTTCTGTCCCACGTCCTCGCATTCACGTCGTTGTTCGGGGCTGGGCTGAGGCATGGCCTCTCCTCCTCGCTCTCTCCTCTGCTCGGGGGGTGAGGGGTGGGCAAGGGGTGGGGTGGGGTGGTCCAAGGGCTTTCTGCGTCGGGAGCTGCAGATGACGGGGTGCTCTGGGGGGGGGTGCGCGGGGTTCGCCTGTCTTGTGTGTGTGTGCACATGTCATGTGTCTGTGTGTTGTGTGTGCGTGTGTGCGCATGATTGTGCTCGTGCTTTTGTTCTGAGGGTGCCAATATTATATGTCCTAGTCGCGCCTCTATCATCGGCATGTTTTCCCAGGGCGGGCGTCGCAAGGGTCGACGCTCCGATGGCGCGCCATCGTGGAACCAGGTTTATGCCCGAGTTCCCCAGCGCGGGCTCTTGTGCTACATGGGACCTCCCCGCCTAGGTCCTCCTGGTCTTCTCTGCTCCCCTCGCCTCTACTGCTCTGGTGTTCGGGTCGGGGGCCAGGGCCTGGGTGCTGCTGGAGAGGCGAAGGGGGGCTCCCCAGCCGACATCCCCTTCCGCCACCACCACCGCCACGATGGCGATCACCGAAATGCTCTCCCACGACGGCTTCACTGGCTCCGCGCGGGCCGGGTGGGCGCTCTACACAGGCTTTCCGCCGCGCGCGGTCGAGAGTGGGTCAGGCGTGCAGGGCCCGTTCGGCTTCTGGGATCTCGCTGGCCACGCTGCGGATGGTGGCGCGGAGGACTTCGCCCGCCGGCGCTGGAGTCGCCAGACAGAGATCAAGCGCGGGGCGGGCGCGCTGGCGACGATTGGTTACGCCGCGCCCGAAACCACTGGCATGCCGCCCGGCTGTTCGTCGCCTCCTGCTGGCCTGAAGCACGTGGGCGTCCTGGAGGGGCTCGGGGCGATCTCCCAGGATGCGGGCCCGTCGAACGGGCTCGCGACAGTCCCCCAGGTCTCCGTGGCGGACTGGGGTCAGATCGTGGCGCGCGACACGCTTGGCGAGTCGTTCCAATTTCAACCCGCTGCCGCCGCGGGCGACGTTGGCATCCAGGCGCTGGCGTCCAGCGACGCTGGGGGAGAAGCAGAAGATGTCGGCGGCTTTGATTGCCAGCTGGCGCCTGCCCTGCTATCATACGGGTGCTGTTCCAGGGCGGCATGGCCGGCCCCGCATGGCCGGCCCCGCGTGAGACGAGAGCTGGGCGGGCTGGAGGGGGCCGTCGAGGATGCCGCGGGTCTGGGCGATGGCGAGGAGGTGGTGGATCTGGAATGGGCGGGGGACTTGGAGGGGGTGGTGGAGGAGGTGGTAGTAGACATGGTCAACGTGGTCGACGACGACGCGGAGGTGGACGAGGAGGAGGGCGACGACGTGGAAGAAGCCTCCGCGGAGGGCTGCGCGCGCATCGCGGCTGCGGCGCATTCTGCGAGCTGCCCCAGGCCCGCCCCGCTAACATCGCGGCCGACGCAGGCGGCGTCGGCTCCAGGGCGCCGACGTCTGGCGACGCCGAGGGGGCGCAGAAGAAGTCGGATGCGGAGAATGCCGGCGGTCACCCCGCCACGACGGCAATCGTGGGGGTGTCGTTCCATGGCGGTGCGACCGGCTCAGCGCGGGGCGACTGGGCCACCCGCAGTGGATCGCCGCTGCGCGCGGTCGACGGCGAGCTGGGCACGCAGGGCCCCGCGGGCTTCTAGGGCCCTGCCAGGCCCGCGGCGCTGCGGAAGCAGATGCAGGGGGTATGCCGTGGGCGACCGCATTTGTGGAGGCCTCCCTGGCCGTTTCACGGCCGCTACAACTGTCTATGGGGCACTATGAATCACGGCAAGTATCAGCTTCTGGGACCGCGCTGGATTCGCCGCGAATGGTAGCATCGACTGTGCTAATCGACTGCGTCGACCAGGCTGGGGTCACCTTCGATCCATGTATTGCGGCGGGCCCCACCCTCGCCAAGGTTGTCGTCGTGGTTATTGCTGTTGTTGTTATTGTTGGATGTTACGTACTAAGCAACTTGTATTGTTGAACCCCTTGCAGGCGCCCTGGCGTTCTCGCCGAGGCGCCGGCTGCATTTTCATTGAACATGAAGCTCACGCTCGAGCGGTTCGGGGGGCCGCCAAAACCGGCCCCCCAACGACAACAACGCTCCCGCTCGAGATTTCCCCTTTTCTTATTCAGGGCTGGTGTTTTTGCTCGCCGCCAAAAGTTTCCTGCAGTGCAGAAGCACTCCCCCCCCCGAAAGGTTTCGGATATGCTTAGCACATATTTGGAACGATAGTTGTTTCAGATCGGGTTTCAGGCTCGACTGATGTTTCAGCGTTTGACGTTGCCGCAACCATTCTGGCTCTAGCGCCGTGAGGTGAAAATAGATCCTCTCGAGGCCCTGCGGGGCCCGGTATCGATCGTGTGATGCTAGCGCGATTCCGCGGATGGTAGCGGAGCGTGGACGAGGCAGGATCACCCTCCGTGTCATGGTGATCCTCGGTCACGCTGCCGTGGCGGGAGCCGCGGCGACGGAGGCCCTCGCGGAGCGCGTGCGTCTCCTGGAGGGCGAGGTGACACGGCGCCGCGAGGTGCTCGCGGAGAACGAGAATCTGCGGCGGAGACTGGGCGCCGGGGAGCAGCGTCTGGCGATGGGCGAGCAGCGCGCTGTAGAGCGCGACGGCGGCGCAGCCGCAGCAGCTGCACCGGGTCCCAGCAGCGGACAGGTCGTGGACACGAGACTGTTGAACAAACCGCGGACGTTCACGGGCTTGCACTCGGAGTGGAAGATATGGTCGTTCGACTTCGAGGCCTACGTGTTCGCGGTCCACCCCCGATTGGGGGACTTGCCCAACCAGGCGTCGAGAACGGCGGATGTGCTGACGCAACACACAGATGTACTACATCCTGCTCTCGGTGACGTCGGATGTGGCCAAGGTCGAGGTCAGGAAAGCCCCGCGAGGAAACGGGCTCGCTGCGTGGTGGCACTTGTTTCGAGAGTTCGCGCCGAAGGAGGCGAACAGGTTCGCGGCCATGCTCGGTCGGATCATCCGATGCGAGTTTGCGGACCCCGCGATGGCGAGTTCGGCGGAGTTCGAGCAGCTCGTCAGGGAGTGCGCGGACACGAGCGGCGAAGTGAATTCGGACAACATGAAAAGGGGTGTGATCGTGTCGGGCATCAACGAGAAGCTGGCGGACCACCTCAGCTTGAATGCTTCGCGCTTGGTCACGTACGACGACTTGAAGAGGGAGCTGAAGACGATCTGCTCATCGCAGCGACGTTGGGCAGCAGCGGACTCTGGAGGCGACGGCGCAGTCCCGATGCAGGTCGATGCAATCGGTAAAGGCAACGGCAAAGACGGCAAGGGCAAGGACGGCAATGGGGAGAAAGGCGGCTCCAAGGGGGCAAGGACCGAGAGACCCGCAGTTGCCACCACTGCGGCAAGGCTGGCCACCTCGCAGCCGACAGCCGCAAGGAGAAGGCGGACGAGAAGAAGGGCAGGAAGGTCGCACCGCTGACGGACGCGACCCAGGTGCAGCCTTCCGCCTCGACGGCGACGACGGCGCTGAAGGGGGGCAGCGTTGGCTCGCAGAGCAGCTTGGCCCCCGCGATCGACGTGTCTCACGTGGCAGCAGTCCTAGCCCAGATGCAGTTGCAACAGCAGCGGAGTCCAGGTTCGACGAGCGCTACCGTTCACATCGCGAACATCCAGGTGGCAGGCGACGCTGACATCCCGACGCCCGAGGAGTACTACTGGCAGGTCGGCATGATGTACGCCGCGACGCAGTGCGATGCACTGCCAGTGACGATCGGCGACTCGGTGGAGTTCGACTGGGCGCTCTTTGATACAGGCTCAGGGCCCACCACCTGCCCGCAGGAGTTCGCGAACGTGACCGAGATGCTCCCGCCCAAGAAGCTGCCGCTTTGCGAATCGGCGACTGGCGGCGAGGTCAAGTTCATGGGCGCGAGGATCGTGGCAGCCAAGAGCGAGGGAGTACCTCTCCCGATCGAGTTCCAGGTCACGAACGCGCATCGCGCCATCGTGAGCGCCGACACCTGCACGGAGGGAGGTCATGCCCCGATCCTCGGCAAGGGCCCCCGCATCCTGCTCGCGGACGGCCGCGAGATCAAGCTGTGAAGGAGCGGGGGGAAGTTCTGGCTCAGGATCAGGGGGCCCGTCGAGAACGTCGCCGAACCGATCCTCGTCAACCCCGCGCAGCCGAACGCTGAGGCCCGAGCTGTTCCGCACGAAGCACCTGCTGACGAGGGAGATGCAGAGCCTGAGGCCGACGCCGATCCACCGGCACCGCCACCTCCACCGGCGCCGCCAGCTGCCGGCGATGGCCAGGATCAATCAGATCAGGAAGGATCAACGTGAGGGCGTTCGACGACAGCGAGAAGACGGAACGCTGCTGCGGGTTTCTGGAGAAGCCGCGGCGGCTAAGGCGAGAGGGGTCCCAGTGATGCCAGGTCGAGCGGTTCGAGACCAGCATTGTCTCACGCACTCGCCCTTCCGCACCTGGTGTTTGTTCTGCATGATGGGCCGTGGCCAGGAGGGCCCTCGCGCGCGCTTAGCGGACCCCGGCCGCCTGATCCCGCTGGTCTGCATCGAGTACTTGCTCCTCGGTGACATCGAAGGCGACCCCTTCGCGGTACTGAACATCCTGGAGTGCCAGTCGGGCGCGATCGAGTGCGCGCAGATGACCGTGAATGGGCCTGCGGGCTATGCCGTAGCAGTGACGACGGCGGCGATGCGCATGTGGGGCCTCAGCCGCGTTCTTCTTGGAGCTGATGGAGAACCCGCTATCCAAGCCTTGGTCCGAGCCGCGCAGCTGGCCTGAGAGGAAGAGACGGTGCCTCACAGCGGACCTAAGCGAGATCCCAAGAGCAAGGGGGCGATCGAGAACGCCAACAAGATGGTCGAAGGCATGTTCCGCACACTGAGGGCATCGATCGAGTCGAGGTGCAGCCGAGCTCACCTTGAACCACTGGATCATGGGCTGGATGATTCGGCATGCAGGATGGCTTCTGTCAAGGTACCCAGTGAAGGAGGATGTCCTCGCGCCCTGCCAGCACCCGAGTGGCCGCGCGCACGGGGGGGCGATCTGCGAGTTCGGCGAGACGGTGATGGATAAGATCCAAGACGTGGCCCACCACAAGGCGGATATCCGCTGGGGCAAAGCCGTCTGGGTCGGGAAGGACAATCGCACGGACGAGCACTTCCTTGCGACCGCTGCCGGTCGGGAGACGGCGAGGACGATCAACGGGCGAGTTGAGGGCCAGCGATGGTCCAAGAGCTTGGTCAACAAGGTCGAGTGCACGCCGTGGGACACTCGCGCAGGACCTGAGGCAGCACCGCCCCCCCCCCGCGCCGCCGCTGCATCGCGAGGGCCATCATCGATCGAGTTGGATCTACACCTGGTTGCGACGGCTGCTACGGGCTTGGTCACCCACGCACCAAGTCCTGCAGAGATCGGATTGAGAGCCTGCTGAAGGCCGAGGAGGAGAAAGACAAGCAGGAGGCAGCAGTTCGAGCAGCCGCTTCCGCAGCAGCTGCAGCACTCCCAGGAGGAGGAGATCAGCCTGCTCAGCCTGCGCCCGCCGACGAGCAACCTGCACCAGCAGCGTCGGCTCCAGCGCCACCTGCTGTCCTACATGGTCCAGAGGCAGATCAAGGCGGGCGACCTCGCAGGCGTCGGCTTGAGGCAGATGCCCCCTCGGATCCGACGCAGGAGCAGCAGGGCGGAGTGGAGCTCGGGATGATCGAGATGGACCGGAACGGGACCGTGGTGGCGGAGAAGCCGAGGAGGAAACAGAAGGTGATCACGGGCCTGTTTGTCAACATGGCGACCGCAGTGCTGGCGCTGACGTGCGACGCCATCCCCTGCGACCGCGAAATGGGCACCAACAAGCGCAGCCTCTACGACAGGGGGTCGACCTACCAGAACGCGTTCGGGGCTAGGTCAGGCAGGAGGCTGGGCCCTTCCCTGGTGAAGCAGGGCAGGGAGAAGGAGCACAGGCAGATGGAAGGCAGATGGTGGAGTTCGAGGTCTTCGACCGCGTGCCTAGGAACTTCGCGAAGGGCAAGCGCGTCCGCGGGAAGTGGGTCGACGATGAGCGCTACGACGACGACGGCAGGGAGTCGGTCAGGTCGCGCTTCATGGCCATGCAGTTCGCCTGGGACGTACGGGGCGACACTTTCGCAGGCGCGCCACCTCTGGCCGCGTTCAGGCTTGTGGCCTCCTTCGCCTCAAACCTCTACTCCAAGGGGGTCGGCTACGACGGCATGCTCGCTCTCTAGGATGTGTCGGTGGCGTTCTTCCACGCGTACACCGACGAGCACATCTACGTGGTGCCGCCCAAGGGAGAGGAGCCCGAAGGCATCGTGTACCAGCTGAAGAGGGCACTCTACGGCACCAGGAGGGCCTCGTCCTGATCATGGAGGTCATGGAGGTCATGAAGGTCATGGAGGTCATGGAGAAAGGGGGCTTCGTCCGCATCAAGATGACGGTTCAAGTCTACTACCACAAGGAGCGCCTGCAGATGGTGATTGTTCATGGTGACGACTTCCTGGTGGGAGGAAGGAGCGCGCGTTCATGGGACGAGCTGGTGAGAGGTCACTTCAAGGTCAAGGTGATGCCCAGGGTCGGGAGCCCGAGGCAAGGAGGAGTTGAGTCAGACAGCTTCTTCGAGCGCACAGTGACGTGGTGTCCCGAAGGTTTCGGCATCACGCGCGATTGCAAGCATGTGGAGATCCTGGTCAGCACCATGCTCAGCAGGAAGATCGGCGAGAGCAACACCACCAAGCGCACGATCACCCCGTCTTCCAAGACAACCGGGAAGGACTGCAGGGAGTCATCCGACGAGCTCAGCACGGAGTACGCGACCCTACCGCAGCATGGCGCCTACCGCACCCTACGTCGGACACGACCGCTTCGATATCCAGCAGGCCGTCGGCTACCTCATGAGGGGCATGGTGGCACCGACTTTGCACCATTGGCTACTGCTTCAAAGCTTGGCCGGTTCGAGCCACTCTTCGCGTTCCAGAGGGTGCCGGATGTTATCGTGGCGGGGGTCGACAGCGACTGGGCGTCGGAGCCGGTCGGTCCGTGGACGGTGGCTTCCTGTTATTCGGTTCGCACCTGATCGACGGCTGGGGCGGCCAGCAGGGCAACCGCGCCCAGGGCAGCGCCGAGGCGGAGTTCACGGGCATCGTGAACGGATCGGCGAGGGGCATCTGGCTCCGCAACGTGATGTTGGAGATGGGCTTCGAGGTGACGCTGCAGGTCAACGCGGGCAACTCTGGGGCCAAGGGCATCGCATCGCGCCTCGGATGCGGCATGGCGCGCCACCTGGAGACGAAGTACCTCTGGGCGCAGGAGAAGGTCAGGGATCGAACCGTCACGATGGCGAAGACCCACGCGGATGTCAACAGGGCCGACATGCAGACAAAGCCGCTAGAGGGGCTGAGATTCCTGAAGCTGCTGGCGTTCCTTCCACTTCGGACACCGTCCTCGGGGCGCACGCAGGTGTTCGGAGTCATGCTGGCGGCCGCCATGCTCGGTTGAGTTCAGGGCTCGGCAGTCATTCCATACAACCAGGCGGTGATGGTGGTGGGCAGTTCGACTGTGGCGGAGCGGATCTGGACGACGGTGCTCACAGTGTTCGGCTCGACGTTGGCGATCGCATTCCTGGCGATGTGGATCGTGTACCGCATATACAAGGCGCCGCTGCGGTTCCTGAAGGGCTTGTTGGAACTCGCGAAGGCCGACCAGGACGAGCACGGACTGGTGGCGCGTCCACCGGCTGAGGAGGAGTATGAGCAGCCAACCGACAGGCTGGAGATCGAGGACTGCTGGCGGCCAAGCCGACACACGCAGACGGTGCCCGTACCGCACTACTGGACGTTGAGCGCAGTGGACCTCAGAGCGGAGTGCGAGCGCCTGAGGATCTACCGCGGTCAGCCCAAGGCGCAGATGATCGTGGGCCTGCTCATCGGAGCAGGGCGCAAGTGAATGATTCTTCTGGTGCGGTGGCACCGCCATTTCACGTTTACGACGCAGCTGCAAGAGCTGGCGTCGCCTGTTTGCTTTGCCGCACGAGCTCGAGGGCGCGAGGGGCTGAAGCCCAGCGTCGCGGCGCTGGCTTTCGGAGGAGGAACGAGATAGGCCCGCGGGCGAGGGGCCAGATCTTGTTTGAGCTAGGATGATCCAGGACGGTCTCTGTTCAGTTGATGTGCCCCAGGCGAGGCCCAGGGCCCAATGGGGGAGTGCAGTACAGAAACACTCCCCCCCGAAAGGTGTCGGATATGCTTAGCACACGTTTGGAACGATAGTTGTTGTAGATCGGGCTTCAGTCTCGACTGATGTTT